GAATAGCACAGCAAGGTTTTTTTAAACAGCAGAATGCGCATCTGTTTCCCTAGACTTAACATTAACTTATAGGATGTGCGTTAACAACCACTCTTCCTAGAAAACTTAAAAAATCGAAAGTAAGCTACGCCACAGACTTTTGGCCCAGTGCAGAGGTTTCGGTATCGTTTTAATTATCTAGAAAATAGAGCGGACAAAATGGATAAATGTACCCAACAAGCAGACGCATTGCATTGTACATAGCAATACAGATGCTCAATAATATTAAATTCCCTTTGAAATAGTCTTTTTTTCCATGTCGGTAACATGCGACAATTAGGCTGTAGCCTTCAATTAAAAAAGTGTGCTCAACGAATATGAGCAGTCAAAACTCATAGACTAACCGAACAATTGAGAGGATCAAACGAATCAGATTAAGCCACCGAGTACAAAATATTCCAATAATTTCACCTTGGTTAAGTCGACATAAAGAATAATATTAAATAACCGAACCATTTAATTTTGGAATTGGTAATTGGAAGTTGGGTTGAAGGCTGACCCAAGGTGGTTTTGAAAACTGCACCGCTATCTCTGGTGATTGGACAAGCCCCCCCCCCCCCCCCGAGCGGGGATTTCGTAGGGTAAAACTGCAGGGGGGGGGGGGGGGGTTACGGATTACCAAAAACAGCTGCAGCAGCTACCATATATTTCTTGTGTTAAACCTAAATAGACGCGTATTCATACCGCATGTTCAGTGAACTGGGTTGGAATTGAAAATGGCGTAGTCTCGTAACTTCATGCCACCATTATTAGCAGTGCTATACTTTTTCTATATTAAGCGTACTACGACTAGCGCTATGTATTGAATATTGTGTAGCCGATACTTATTGTTGTATATAATTGAAGTGATTGCAGTTTCTGTTAACGTAATTGATACGATAGACAATGCTAGATAGGACCGAATAACATTATTCAAGAAATAGCTAGTGAAAATTTAATATGGCACAGTTAGTTTACTGAATAGCCTGCCCGGCCAACTTTCAACCAGCCCTCAAACAACAACACAAATTGCGCCTCTGTGGTTTTTGATAAAAGTAGCGCGACACGTATTAGGTATAGCGGGTTTTCCCAGCACTTTGTCTCTAGCTCAGCAAGCGCTCCATTCTCTCGAAGCGCTCGCGTACCTGTCTCTAATAAGTGTGTCAACGTTTAATTCAGAAGCCTATTTACGGAACACTTTGGTAATCCACCTGTTTTCATACATAAACATTCACGAGTGTGATCCTTAGTGCCAGAGTCAAGCGAATATCATGCTTCGTGCCTCAGGCCCCAAAAGGCCTCCTAGTGCCGTACATAGAACGGCAGTACCCTTTTCTTACCATATCCGCTTTTACTACTTTACCGAGCGTAATTGTTATCTTCTGTTGACCCACAACCAGTTTAGGTTCCCATCTAAGAGTCATGGGCACGCATGTACCTACGCACCGACACCATGACGCGTACAAGATAGTAATTCCGTAGCAATTCACCTGTCACACGCATCACGCGGTGTTCGCGCACGTACACGCCCAAAACTCAAGAAACCCAACGTTCGTTCCCAGGGAGAGCCATTGCGGTTTCTGTGTCAGAAGGTTGCCGTGTCTTCACGGCTAAGGTTGCCTTAAGCGATAAAGGTCCGTTTTAGTGTATTTTTGTTTCTACCAACGGCCATGGGCCAACCTCCGTGAACAAGAGAATTCTACGTAATCCCAGTGACACACAGATTTACTTTGTTCCCAGTGTCGACGGTCGCCAATCCTTTTACCCGGCCGGCCCATCTCGCACCAGACAGCTAACACAAACGAGTTGCCTTTATATGCTGCGTTAACGGTTTCTTACGCCAGGACTGGAACCGAGCTCAGCTTAGCCGAATCGATTGTCAAAGGCCACTTTGAAAGGTCATTGCCAATACACAGCCCGTCAGACGGGCCGAAGCAATAGTTGCCCTTCAATGTTAAGGTCACTAGTTCCGTCGGCGATGCTGCTACTGCTGCTACGGACGAACTAGCAAGCCGTTAAGTGATGTAAATTTATCAATCGGAAGCAGACCGTTACTATCCCCTAGCTCATCTCAAACGAATTGTCCATCGGTCAACGGACCCCTTGAATGTGTCTTACATACAGACCAGTGTCTTGACAATAGCAATATCTGCTCGTTCGAACCGTCCACCGGTGAAGCAAAAGGATCATCTGATATCAGACAAGAAGAGGCGATACCAGCAGCTGAAAACGAGGTAAATCTAGCCAGCTCTGTTGCCTCTACTAACCGCTTCCAGCTGTCCGACCGAAGAGCGTCAACCCTTTTCCGTCCACTGAGCCGCCAGTTCCCGACGGCATAGCTCGAAACTGAAACGCATAGAGACTGCCGAAGCTTATCGCCCATTTTTAGAGGGTACCATATAGAATTGTGTATGCATCTCTTCTTTTCACTCTTTTTCTCTTCGCTGGACAATAGCGGAAGTACCGAAAGGTCCAAGAACGCATATAAATTATGGCAGAGGATTGCGTTGACGGCGTCAGTGGTCCGTGACTACGGCCATAACACTTTGCTTCCTATCAATTTTGCATTGTAATCGTGGTAGTAATGGTAAAATGTTAGTTGTAACTGAAAAATTAAAAGTATATAACGTCCCAATTAGAAATGCGATTTAACGGTACTATAGCGCGAAAAGAGGCCATACACCGTCTGTGCACATTTGGAAGTACGCATTGTGTATAACAAAAAAAAAAAAACATAAAATTCATAGCAACCTATCATATGTGACTCCCAAGGAGTGCGTTTTAGTCACAGTCCCATAAACCACTGTTAATAACAATAATAATAATGACTGTTTGGTACGGACTAAAACAGGCTCTACACTTTACTGATGTGTTAGCTTATTACACATATGTATGTTCTGTTTTATTGAAGGGAAAAGGTACACACCGACACATCAATCCAAGGCCTTTGTAGGTTCTATCATACGTTGAATATTTGCATTTTATAGGGTTGACAGTTTCTATTGCCATCTAAACCGCGTCCTTGTTTTTTCGCTTGCGACAAAATAATAGAGTCAAAGTAAAGTGTCCTTTCTGAATACTCTCTAACTGCTACAGAGCAAAGAATTGCTCTGGATCAGGGTGTGTAAACCAATCCTCAACGGCTACATCATATATATTTCAAAAACTTTCTCTGGTGCAAGCATGTGCCACTGTCGCCAATGGCTTCGCAGCTGAATCATGTGTCTCGTTAGTATTAGATAGGTTCAGGGAGAAACGACATAATTACGTTGTCGATTCGTACGCTTGCGACTGGTTGTACATTGTGTAATGGGACAGATACACGCGAGCAATTCGAACCGAGACAGTGTGACAGCCCACAAGACGTGGGTCTATCTACCGACCGAACTAAGTGCAACCTGATGTAGCTTGAGGCAACTGCCAGGAGAGCCCAAAGCCAGTTGGAACATTTCAAGGCTGCGTTGAAGTCTAAAGGTAACAGCAGTACAAATGCTGTGTACTAGTGATATCAGGTGCGGTGAAAAGACAAATAGGTTGTTAGATTGGTTCCGAGGCAGGGTGGTTGACCCCTTCGATTAGGGCTAGTTCGTCGAAACAGTTTTTGGTTAGAACTTCAAATGAACAAGGTAAACGACGCGGTATCACGAGTTATCAAGTTAGAAAGCAAGTTCGCTGCGTCGATACCTTTTTGACAGCATCTACTTAACATTTCTTCGAAAATAGATAGCGAGATTAGGCTAGCGGGGTCCGCTGCGCAAGTAAAAGGCAGGCAGCTTTCTCGGCTCAGGCTTTTGGCTTGAACGTGTGCTCCGTATGCGATGAATGGTGATCTGATATATCGGGAGAAACATCGTCAGAATTTCGGTGCATCGATAGATCGTCATGCAAAGTTCCCCGTCTCGTTCCCTTCACCTTCCGGTGCTTGGCGTATAACGTGCCTGAGCCCTTTCACCTTTCAGTTAGTCTTTTGAGGCTTGAGGGACACACGTTCCCCAAGCTTATGGGAAAGCTTGCATCCTTAATGGTTCATTCACGTAAGAGAAAACTAAGTGGCTTTACAGGGTCTACGCAAGATCCAAAAGCACAATTCTATTTTAGAGAATATCCAGAGTTCCTCTTCGTTCCAGTTCCACCATATCCCAGGTAGAAGGTGGGCTCTACCCAGGTTTTTATCGATAACCACCACTACTAAGACTACTACTGCCTCTTCACTTTGCTTCAGTGTCTATATTCGATGTGGTCCCTCTTAGATGTAGCTTTTACAACTGATTTTTGCCATCATATTCGTGGCCAAGGAAAAGTTGATACTTCGTAAATATCTGAACGTAAGTGAACAAAAAGTCGACCTCAATCGAAAGCAAATAATTTTGCTGAACATCTTTGCATGTTAACATGGTATATATCGTATATATAACATGGTATATATATATATATATATACGACAAATTGGCATATATATATATATGCAAATTTGTCGGCATTGCTCGAACAGAGTATCCTGAAGCGCATGCTTAGCCAGTGACAGCCCATACGATATGATTCCGAAAGATGTTATTAAATTCCCGATCATACTTTTTTATTCAATCAAAGTACGAAATCGATACATGTTGGGACTATTCTCAGTCGGGTCGTAGATTTGTTAATACTAGAATAAATCCTTATGACAACTGCAAGTTACGGCTGAACGAGAAGGTGAAGATACCACTTCTCGACAGTCAGATTAGATAATTACAGCAAAAGCAAGGGTATTTGTGTTTTTTTTTTACAAGAGTAAAAGGACACGAGTACCTGAAATATTATAGTTGGCTTTATTTAAGAAAGCCTGACCTTAACGTGTGACCTAACAAACCATCTGTCTATAGATCAACATATAGATCCAATTCTATATACACTCAAGTGCGCTTACTTATTACAACAGCTGTTTTGTACCTAAATGTTAGATAAACAAGCTATTAATTGTCCATTTCATATACGATCCTTACACTGCGCAGATCCATGACTGATCGTAGTCAAATCCACCGCCCTCTCTCACGTAGGTTCCCTGGATAGTTCGAGACAGGAGGTGCACTGAAAAAAAAAACGTAAGTACAAATCAACGAAAAAGAGAAACAATATTGTCAGTCTATTCATTATCGTTATGTGGTCAACAATGTGAAGATATGCCAGACCCAGCGTCTACGATTCTTGAACGAGCGATTTGCAGAAAAAAAAACAGCATCGAATTGGTTATATAACGCAAAACAACGTAAATATCTGCTATAATCGATATTAGGGTTCATAGGGTGCAATATCTTCAGGTGATCTTTGTTCCTATAACCCCAGTAGAACATTGTATACAGGAACTTACGCAGTAATCGATAATGCTGCATTTATTCCATGCCCTCTCTAACGTAGTAGTAGTACCGAAACGATGGGCACAATAGAATCGTCATGACTTCGTTAAACAGACTATGAAACAGAGATCGACTATGAGAAACGAATTTTTGAATCGGCGTCTCGTCTGTGATGAGAAATGGTGCGTCCGGAATCAAAGAATTTTTATGAAAATATGTCTTCATATAAATTCACCGTATGAGATTTGCTCCAGATTGCTCGGAGTCAAAGAAGCCCGTTCGTTATTAAATACGCGTATAAAAACGAGTACATACATATCTTTTAGCTATTACAAATGCATGAGCCAAGACAATTGCCCCCAATCGAAGCGTATTTGTCTTTTTGACGTGGCATTACGCACGGTAAATCAGCATCGACTCAAACTGTGGAAGCAGACTGTTGTTTCGGAACGAGATCCTGACCATCAGTGACCATGAAAAATGGTACAAGTTTGACCCATATCGCCTACTTAAACATCATTGAATATGAATGATATTTACACATAAGGCTGTCAACGAAAATGCATGGAGCAGTTATCGTCTCGTGAAACACTATATAGCAATTTAGAATTTTTCAAAAACCAATTAGTTTATTTTACGGTGACACATATATCTGGATCCGATTCGACTCCATCGCGTTGGAAAGACATTCAGACTGCCACAGGTAGTCTTTGTGTTTGTCTCATTTTTTTCCGTTTACGCTAATCAGGCGTGAACGTGCCTGCGGTTTCATCGCTGCCAGGCAACGTGAAAACGTGAAGGCTGAGAATAAAAGCTTTGTTTTTAAAGCGATCTTCATAGCTATGAGGTTCTGGTATGGTGCAAGCTTGCCTCTGTATTCACTAAAGCCAGCTGGCAATCAATGGATAAACCACCCAGATCAGAACCCGAAAAGGGCGATCCGCGAATCAGGACCCGCGACTTAAAGCAGCGGCAAAAGAAGGACGCAGCAGTTGTATCGCGATAGGACGGCGTTGTCCCAAATGGAAAGGTTGCGGCGAGGCCGCCGTCCTCGCCAAGGACAAGTCGACGTAAAGAAAGCGGCAGCAAGTTACGAGGAACCGTTGTGAGTCTTCATTTATGCCGTTGTCTCATAGCACGCCTTTGCGTTTGCTGCTGTCTGCTCAATGAACAATGACGCCACCGCACTATCGAATGAGCAGTAAGAAGAGGGCAAAGATGAGCAAGAAAAGAGAAGAAATACGCCACGTTGGTTCTCTTCGTGTTTATTATTGAAGTGGCCAAGTGAGGTGGTTGAGCCGGGAAAAATGGTAGAAGAAAGAGGAGCTGCAGGGCGAAAAGGGCTGAACGGTAGGGGGCAGTTTCGGCGACAACGGCCAGCGTGTTGAGGTGTTGTATTTTAATGGGAAGAAAATAGGCAGTAACCGGATAGCATAACCACCGTCTCGAATCGACGCGATTGGTTCTTCAATGCTGGCCATCGAACGAGCAATTGGCTACCGGGGTTACCGGCTGAGTCACAGAAGAACAGCTAGATACGAACACCAACTTTTGTTACTGATAGTGAGTCACGTCATTGTTGAAGTATTAAATAAATCAGGTTAAATGGGTGCGTGGTATATTGTGTTCAACAGGTGACGCTTCCAAATAGGTTAATGGTTTGACTAACATATAATGGGCGTTCGAGGAACTGTGTTAGACTGAAATTAGCTTGACAGTCCATTAACGATGCTACATGCGTACTTCAACATCAAATAACAATAAAATGCGCAAACGCTTGCCGCTAGTGTATTGGATAGCGCGACTACTGTTTACCTTTACTGTTTTGACTAGGTCACACACGAAGTACCTGATACATCGAAACATGGATAAGCAATTGAGGCGTGACTTAAATCAATTATCTTCACGCTAAGGACCCTTAGGTTTTCTTGTGCCTCTCTACTTACACATAGAATTACACGATTAGTGATTTTGGTACTGCCTTTTGATGTTCATCCTGGAAGTAATTACCAAAATTAAAACAGTTAAAACACTACCACAACGCATGCTTTTTCACAGAGATGAAGCTAAATTCCGCAATAAAATTGCAGAAAATTAAGCGCACATATCGACTTTGAGTTGAATCCGTCTGTGTGCGACGACGAATTCCTGTGAAGTCTTGTTCGTGATGAAGCTATTAAAAAACATTTAAATTGTCTATGTGGTAAGCTTAATTCTGCCTCCAGATTTGCTCTGACACTTTTTGCAGTAAACGGCAGGGGTAGTTGTCATTCGAGACAGTCTTTCTATGTTAGAGCACTCCTTTCCCGTCATCTCACCCCATTTCATATCCCGCTCGACTTTTAAGTATCCCTGCACTCATTTGTTGCGAATCCTCCAGGCTCCGACTAGCTTCTACCCACTCAACAACGACGACAAGAAGTGATCGTACACCAAAGATAGAGGGAATGCCGCATTCTGAGCTGTACAAAATGGATACGGAAATAACAGCGTCCGCCGATAGTAAGAGTAATCGCTGCTGCCAAAGTTACTATCGAGCTACAGGACCGCGCTAATTTCCCGGATGCTTTGCGTCGTAACAACTCGAAATGCGTAAGTCATCGTTCTGATTTTGGTTCATTGCTTCTTAAACTGTGCTACTCGATTTTCCATATGGGACGCGGGCGTCCTGGCAAAACGAAACGAAGAATTGTTGACTTCAGAAGAAAAATGGCTGTAGAACTCCGCCGCAGAGACATAAGCCATACATCGTTTGAGAGAAGGGACACGTTGCCAAACGTCATATCCTGAGGTAGCAGAAGCAAAGGAACACCGGTGTTGTAGTATATAGAAGAAGCAGTCTACAGCTGTGTAACGGGCCGGTTACTGAGACCAATATGGTTTCGTCTACTCTACCGCCGTTTCAGTACAGAAAGAAAAGGTTCGCGCTGTACCGTCGCCATACTTATAGTGGTGACTATATAGTGCTTTTAGCTATGGCAAACTGTGGGAGTGTGCAAAAAACAAACATGCTTTGACTTACCACTCTAATAATCATACCAAATAATCATATTATAGAGTAGCTTATAGAATAGCTTCTGCATTTCCATAAGCTACCTATAGGTAATACCCACGGATCGACTATCCAGCTGATAGACACCCACAAGTCATCATGTCACGTGGGTATTTGATGATTCTTCGTTCTGTTCGTATCGGAATCGCGGGAGCAACTGCATTCTCTTCGAGTTTATCAAGCTTACCATCATTATTCGCGCCTTTGCAACAAAACGTTCCGCGTTTGACTCTGGATTGGTTGCAGAAGAGATGCCAAAGGGGAACGGCCCCAGTGCGCTCGCTCGCCGTTCCACGCGATACTATAACATGTGTGGTAGTACTACATTCTGCGACAGTTACCCTGCTGCTGCTAGCCGTCGGTCCCGCTATTTGTTCCTTCTGGTGCGTCGCTAGTCACCGAGGTTATTTGTATCAATATTGGGTCCGTCTGCCGGCTCCGCCGTCCAATACTGTAGTGCTGTTGTTACTATTGGCAGCAGCAATAACAGTAATAGGCGGGGAGAAGGGGGTAGAGGTACTCGCCAAAGTCGTAGTAATAGTAGCCTTCGTTTTCTTGTTTTCCGTTCAATGGCTGTTGTTCGCCTCAGACCGTCGTCTCCTCGTCAAAAGCCCTAAAACCCTCAAGGGGAGGTGGTGAACGATAGGGCCTGGCTGGCTAAAGGACGTCAAAATCGGTCGACGGGGGATTGGAAGAGGTCATCGATTGTCGGCTTAAGTAACCTCTTCCTTCGCTGATCAGACAGGTTACCTATGGGGCCGTCGAACTAGTAAGGGAAGCCACACAGCACTCAAACAAAGAGACGCAGAGGACACGAACACAAAGACCAAAGCGGTGCTACCTGCCTTTTTTTTCGTTGGAATGAGACAGTGCTCTCTCTGAGTAGGCTGTGATCGACCAGCTGGCTCTGGATAGACCTATACAATATGGCATTAAAACATTTGTCATACGGTTAGGGGCTTTAAAGGGACTTTTGCTGCTGTAAGCGTTTACAGGCAGCAACGTTGGTGACAGCAGGAGCCAACTATCAACAAGCCTGGCAGCATCAACAACGGTAAATACCCACAGAAAAAAAATCCGCCCGCACCTTGTCTACATGGCCGCCTTAACCAACCTGGTTATGTTTAATGACAAAGGATTCCGGTTGCTGCAACCAACACAGCTGGTCTTTCAACTATCACCTTTCTTTTCTTTGTTCTCTCTTCGATACGGATTCTGGTAACATCCGGGAAAGGAGAATCTCGTTCCCTCGCCCTAAGTCCCACCCGGTCACCACGCAGCGTGGTTAGCCGGTTCTTTGTTCACTAACTATGATCGTTGCTTCTAACGAATGGTTCGGTGGCTCGGCTCCTCGACAACTTTGCTCGTTCGACGTTCTCATTGCTGTCATTGTCACCGAGCCAGGGCAGTCCCTTGGCTCGCGTTTTTCAGCTGTAAATTCTATCTTTGCGCGCCTGTTCCACGGTGGCGGCAGGTACAGTTTGCTGCTGCCGGTGGTAAACGTACTGCGCGAGTAGCGCATCGGCAGCTGCTATTGGCTGCTGTCTCTTAGAAAGTAAGAGAGGTGGCTGGCAGTGGCAGCAAGGGGTACTCAAGAAACAGGAGCTGGATGGCGTCGCCAATAACAACAATGACAGCAGCAACAGCTCGAAGCAAAGTTGTTTCGAACCCACAACACAAGA